GGCCGGGCGAGCTGGCGGGGCTCGCCTCGGACGCTGGCATCGCTCCAGGCGACCCTCCACAGCACTGGGGTGGAAATTCCCCTTTTCCACCCCAAAACCAGCCCCGATGAGGATTTCTCGTCAAGGACTCGCTGTGTGGCAGCCGTCTCCGCGGGCTGCTCTCCGCTTTTGTTTACATCTGGTTGAAAACTTCTTAAATTTACTGGCGAGGGAGTAATTCTAATCCTTTTCAATGAGATCAACGGATTAGTGTCTCAGATGCTTATAAAATTGCGAGGATTAGCCAAGCCTTCCTCCCCCCCCCCCCCTTTTTTCTTTCTATGCCGCGTAACGTCATCGCCGCGTTTTAAAAGGGGATCTCTGTGCTGTTACGAAGAGCTGCACCAATTTATAGGAGCCTTTGCGAATCTAAGCGTTCAAAACCAGCGTCTTCATCCTCTCCCTCGCTCGCTCTGGCTTTTTGTGCAATATTAGGGTTGGTTTTTTTTTTCTTTTTTTTTCCAGCATCCCTGGCACCAAACCGCGGTAGCCGTTCAGCAGATACGTTGGGTTTGCGTGGCTTGGCTGCGTTGCGGCGCCCGTGCGGGTAAGTAGGGAGCTGACCCGAAAGCTTTCCTCGATAGAGACTTGCAAAATCGCATGTTGAGATGAGCAGATCCTGAAAATGATGTTCTTTCACGAGGTTGCCCCTTCTTGCAAAGGATTCGGGCTCTTGTGGTCCATCCCCAGAGGGGAACGTCGCTTTTGGGTCGACGGGATGCTCTCGCCCCGGCTGTTGGGAGCGGGATGAAACTCCACGCACCCCACATTCCTGCATCCCCTTAATTATAACCTGTGCTTTCATTAGGACACGGTCACTAACCGCCTCGCACGGAGCTAACGTGGAGGAGGGTTTAGTTCAAGCCCCGTTGCTCTGCCTCCTCTTGCAACGTTGCCCCGCGCCTTTCCCTGCAGGGTATTTTTTAAATGCCTTTTCTCCCGGGTCGATGGCTGCGCGGTCGCTTGACCTGCGTGAGCGAGGCAATCCCGAACTGTCGAGTGGTAGGAGCTCCGAGCCAGGAATTTCTGGCCCCGACCCAATATACTTTCAGAGGCGAGCTTTTAAATATATACAAAGACAAGCTCATAATTTCCACTATACTAATGAGGCTGCGGCGTTTTCATTGAAATGTGCCAATAGCCGCCCCGGTGGTATTTTAGCAGCCTTGTACTGTGAATCCAAATGTGATTTAACATGGCAGCCCCCGCGGAGCGGAGGAAAACTGGCGTCTCCCGCTGAATTTCAATGATGCTTCTCGGCAGCGCTACCCAAAAATCCCAGCGGCGGCGGGACCTTTCCTTGCGTTTCATCTCGACGCAGGTTTTCCCCTCAAATGCCACCGTTTTGGTGAAGGTGGGGAAGGGTAGGAATGGGTTGAAAGAGGGATAATGATATTTGAGGAGGGGAAAGCCTTGGTTTTAAAGACCGGTTTTAAAAGATGTGTGGCTGGCCGGTGCGAGGCGGCAATTTAATAACCGGACTCGCCGAAAGTGTCTTTAACTCGTAGTAAAAACCGAACGCGGGGGCTCCCAGGCATCATGTGCTCTCTTGACCTTTAAAAAGACACTCGAGGCAGCCTGCCTGCTCGTTGCTAAGCCGACTCGTTAGTGCCACTCATATATTTTGCCTCATAGTAGGCGATTCAGCGCCCCGGAATTTGTAAAGATCCGACAGCAAACTATTACATGCCTGAAAGTCACGTTGGTGGGTTTTAGCTTCGCTGCCCGAGGAGGCCCCGGTAGCCTTGAAGCGGTCAGAAAATATTTAGCAGGTTTTGTTCGGTTGGCTTCAAGAAAAACGCAAACTTTAAGTAACCCTCTCAAAAGTTGTTTGGTTTTGTGGGTTTTTTTAAACAAGTCCCAAACCCTCTCAAAAGTTGTTTGGTTTTGTGGTTTTTTTTAAACAAGTCCCGCATCAGCAGCACACCCGTAACGGGGGGTTTTACTTGTTTAGGGCTCAGTTTATGAGAAACCTGTGTAAGAAGCGACGTCCTCGGGCAAAGGAGGGGTGCAGGTAGGTAATGCTGAAAATTCACGCGTGGCTGGCCATCACCTCCCGGTTACAGACCCCCGGGGCGTGGGTACTCCTGAATTTTGAGGTCCCTTGACTTTCTCCATCCCGCTAAGGTCCGGCCGCGGGTGCTGGGGAGAAGAGGGGAGAAGGACGGTATCCCACGGCGTCGCCTTCAGTGCCGAGACTCTGCGCCGCGGAGGAGGAGATGCATGTGTTGGGTTTATGCGTATTTATCTCCACGAGACTCTGCGCCGCGGAGGAGGAGATGCGTGTGTTGGGTTTATGCGTACTTATCTCCATCAAGCACCTCACTTGGCCGTGCGAGCCCGGGAGTGGAAAAGTTCAATTTTCCATTTCCAGCTAAATTTTGAGGGTTTTGTGAACCTTGCAGCCACCTTTCCTTGTGCCGATCCCCTGGGAGTGAAGCAGTTTGTGTCCCGTATCCGTATGGCTCCGGGGAGGGTTTCTTTGCTTTACTCTGAAGCGTTGCAAAATCCCCCCAGTCTCTGTTAGCAGAGCAGAAGGTACGATAAAAAAAAAAAAATACTCCCCCCAAAACCCAGTACTTTTGTTAAAACCAGAGGGAGGGCGGGCCGACTGCGCAGCTCATTTTTCTGTAAGTATTAGGAAAAATGGCAAACGGCAGTGACGTGGCATTAGTGTGAATTCCCAGCAGGCTGAGGTTTGGGTTTGTTTGGGTTTTCCTGAAGGCTTTTTAATGCTGTCAGCATCTTAAAATACAAACCTTGCGGAATCGACGTGGGCTTTGGGGGACAGCTCCTCCGTAGGATTTGTTTTAGTGACTTTTTTCCGGTATCCAGACACCAGCTTTTTCGCTCTTCTGCATCCAGCTACCTCTTCTCCTTAATTTTTACCGCAAATATAAATGGTGCAATTAAAAGGGTCCGCGGAGAGCATTCCTGAGGACTGAAATCCAGGATCCGGGAGCAGATGGCAGCAGCATAAAGAGGAATTCTTCCCTCTCTGGCCTCATGCTGCTTTTCCACCACAAGGCTTTACAGCCATCTGGATCCCCTTTCAGATTGTGGCCCCCCCCGAAAAAAAAAATCCATAACCTAGCAACCTTATTTAGTGTAAACGAGAGCATTATGCCTTCCTGCATCCCAAATTGTGCTTGGCTCCTCTTACCGCCTTTATGGGATGGCTGCTAGCAGCTGTGATTCCCATCGCCGGCACAGGGTGCCTACTTCCAGCAGGATTTTGTAGGGATTATTGATCCCCGGGTGTTGCACGGATTTATTTCCCCCCCCTCCCCCATTAAAGGAGCTTAGGAAACAGGGGGAAAAGGGTTTCAGGAGGTCATTTAGTCCATCTGCTTCTCGGTATAAAAGAGCGGAGAAGGCTGGTCGCTCTTCTGCTCCGCAGAAAGCGATTTGCTTTTGTTCAAGCCTGAAGATGACTTGACCAAAGCGAGATTTTCTTCCAGATGTGATATTTCGGGAGCCCCCCTCGTTGCTTCCCCCCCGCCCCGCCCCAGCAAGCATTCATTGGGGAAAACTCTGCAAACGAGAAAAAGCAACCGCAAACGAAGGCGGAAGATTATTTCCACCAAATAAAGCGATAGGGGCAGGGGGGCTGCAACGTGCGGGGTGAAGCTGCCCACCCTACAGTGACGCCTGACTTCAGCCCCGGCTGTCGGTGCTTCCCTTGGGCTAAAATACTCCCGTTTTTCATAACACGCGTGTTATTAAATTTTTCAGCACCTGAGCTACGTGGTACGGGGCGACGCTGCTCCGTCGAGCACCAGGGCGGCAGGCGGGGATGGAGGCAGCGACGGGGTGATGCGGTCCCATCAGCGTGACCCCACGCTGGGTACCGGCGGGGCGGGGGGGGACACTTCAGCTTTCGCTGCCGTGAGTATGAACGGGGCTGGGGGCAGGAGGAGGCAGCGGCACATCCTTTCCCACCGCACTTTCGGGAGGAAGAGTGAGCTCAGCGGGTCGTGACGTTGGATCTGGGATGGAGCCGCGTGCCAGGAAAAGGGGGGGGGGAAAAAATAATAGAAAAAAATCCCCAGGGCCAAAGGGAAAAAAATTCCTCAAGTGTTATTTCGTTGCCGAGAAGCAAACTGAACCGTGCTCGGGCAGCTTGTGTGCGCGTTTCAAAGCGAGAAGCTGCCGACTCCGCTTCAAACCCTCCTGATAAGCGGTTTCCATTTCTCATTTCTGCGATCCGATGGGAGCCCAAGCAGGGCTCTCCTCCAAACTCCGCCGCCCCCCTCCTGCAGACCGGATAAAAAAGCGCTATTGATTTTTTTTTTTTTTTTTTTAATTTTTGCCTTTTTTTCCTGGAACTTGCAAAATCAACCCTGAGCAAACCTCTGGTTTGCCTTTCCAACGGCGCTGGGCGAAAGCACTTGACTTTAAACGCGGCAATGGGAGCTGCAGCTGACCTATTTTCTGCACGTTTCTCCCCCAACGGGAGCAAAAAGATTTTCACATTTAAAAGTGCTCTTCGGTTTTAAGGTCGTGGGATCATTTATTTGTTAAACTGTCCAGAAACAAAAGCACTTGCTGAAAATTGCAGTGGTACCGGTCGCGCTGCCAGGTGTTTCTTTCATTATAAAGACTTTCCTATTTTTTCCAGTGGCTGATTGCTTCGTCACGTTGTCACATCGCTCTGTCCGCGTCCCCCTGCCCTAAGGCGGTGGAGAGGGTTAAGGTTTTGTGCTCGGCGTCGGCCAGCCAGGGAACGCAGCCAGGAAATTTCCTGATTCCAGTTCAAAACAAGCATCGGATTCGCTCTCGGGGAGAAGGGATCAAAGGTTCGAAGCGGTTCTTGGTTGGAGGTCAGTTTGGTTTCTTGGTCGTCCAGGCACACAACAAAAATCCGCCGCCGTCCCCCAAACCTGCACGCAGCTGAAATGGGTAAAATAAACAGGTTTCGTTCCGTTTGACACCCAAAAGTTTCCTCTGTTCCCCAGTCGCGGAGCAGCATCGCCCCAGACGAGCTTTGCTGGATCTCAGTACGACTCTGCCCCGCGGTGTAAGGGACCGCGAGGGACCTGTCGGGATGCTCTCCGTTCCCGGCACGCCTTGCCGTGCCGTCGTTAATCCCGCTAATCAATAACGCTGCCGAGCCGTGCACCGTCGCTCGCGCTCCTCCTCCGCTCGCTGCTGGCTTTTTGCGGTGAAGGAGGTGGGTCCGGTTGGATGCTTGGAGCCGGCGCTGGATGCGGCCAGGCTGTGGCCTGACACCGTCCCCACAGAAGCACCGTAGCTCTACTAAAATCGCAGCACGCCGAGATTTTTTTTTTTCCCCCGTCCCCACAGAAGCACCGTAGCTCTACTAAAATCGCTTTTTTCCCCCTGCTCTCAATCTGCTGTCCCCCATTTTCGGATGGCGAAGGACATCGCTGCCGGCCGGAGCAGCGTTGAGCTTTCCCCAGCTCCATCCCAGGTGAAGGCGATGCGGCCGCCTGGCGTCTCGGCATCTCTCGGGCGACAGCGGTGCTGGTTTCGGGGGCTGGCTCTGCAGCTGCTCGCGATTTTTCCCATCGCCGCGCTGCGGGT